GAAGTAGTGTGCTGCCCCAGCCTCACCGTCTTCTCACACTTGGCTCCTTTCCCCAGCTCCTACATTCACAGCATCACTTCACCTGTGACCTGGACCACAAACTTTCCAGAAGTTCTCCTGGAATGTCGTCTGCAGAGACTCTCAAAAAGTCATAGGTGACAGAAGATGAAAACCTCTGAAAATTGCCAAGCTCTGATCCAGTTCCCACCTCTGCGAAGCACAGGGGAGAGGGAGACCTGGTCCTCTCCCATTGCCTTCTTTCTGCTCCCAAGGGGACTGGATGGAGCATGTCCATTGACACAGCTTTTGTCTTCTTTTCCAAGTCTGGGTCTCCTGGCTGTTTGATGACTTGTAGTTTTTGTTTCTCACCACTGGGCTTCATTACATGGTTAGCTACACAGTTTTTCTACATCATCCTATAGGGCAGCAATGTCCATGACACTGGACCTTATCATTTGTTCGTTACCTACTGAATGCCTCTTCTGGATCAGGTGCTAGCCAAGGAGGTAATAAAAGCAAAACACATCTTCTTCTGGCTTGTTTAGTGACTCCCACAGTTCTTCTCTCTGCCACCCATTTACGAATATTTGCTCTGGGAATCACATTTCAGAATTTGGGGATTCCTACATTCTCCTTTCCTGAGGAGTTATGGTTGAAGACTGGTGCTTGTTCACACAGACAGTGCTGTTGGCTCTCATTTCAGGCACTCATTTGCCTTCTGGGACCCCGCTGAGTTTTTAGCCAGGACCACACAGGCCATCCTTCCAAGGACAATCCTTGGTCCAAGAGAACTTCGCCAGGGCTTCCTTGTCCGTCCTCAGCTCCAGGATCCTCTGCAACATGCTTTTCTGCTCTTGTGGTCTAGTTTCAGAGCCTTTATACAACCAAACAGATGGTGCCCTTTTCAAGGTCACTTGTGCAGCTGTGCACTTGACAGCATTGTGGTTGGTTTCTGGTGGCCTCCTGTCCTCACAGCAGCTGCTCTAACCTTTCCATTCTTCTGCAGTCACTCCTGCCAGGAGATGACTCATCAAGGAACCTGATGTCACCTTTCCAGTATGTTTGTAGCTCCTGCTTCCAACACAGGCTTCCTTCACATCTATTCATCCCTTGAGCCAACATCTCATTGCCATGTCCTCCTCTTCAATAAACTTGGGGGATAAAAATACTCTTTGCTTCCATTTCCTGTACTCCATACCATAGACTTTCCAACCCTTATCATTTGGTTTCATGAACCACTCCCCAAAACTTGTAGAGTCATCAGACTTCCTAAGTTTAAGCCTTTTCTAAATCTTTAGCCTTCTCTATCTTTCACTAATTGCAGTGATGATCACACTTTCTTGTTGAAACTTTTCCCTGGCCTTTTGTGACTCTTTCTCTGTCTTGGGTAGCTTCTTTCTACATTCCCTCACACTCATTTCCTTCACCAGCTACTCTCCCTAAAGTCCAGCTACAGTCAATTCCCAGATACTCCTCAAGGGGCTTGATTCTCCCACTCATGCCTTTTTATTTTCTGCCTGATACACCTGTCACCCTCCCCGCCCTTTGTAGGTTAATACCTAGTTAGTGCAACAAGACTTAGGTCTGGGACACTACCTTCTCTAAGAAGGCTTCCCTTGCTCTTGTGGCATGGGTGTGCACCCCATAGTGCCTCTTGCTATCTAGGCACAGTGGTTGTTTAATTGTCTGCCTTTCCCATAGCATCCAGATTCCTCAAAGGCAGGATAAGAATTGATCCCCTACAACCATTCTGGCCCAGGATTTATATCCAGAAGTGCTGGAGGAATGGAGTTAGTCATCCCCTCTATCCTTGATGAGATGGGCATAGTAATCTCTAGACCCTGACTCCATGCCAGTTTGTCCTAATTGGCTCAAAGATAACTTAAAAGGTCAATAAACTTTTCATCTAACACTTAAAAATGCTTTAGTGAGCAAGCATTTCTGTGGCAAACTGATCTTTTAAAAAGGCATTATTTCTTAAAAAGAAGAAAGTCAAATATTGTCTTACTACTTAAACCTATACTTGCAAGTAAAACACACTAAGCAAAAGAGGGGGCTATCTGTCCAGTGTGTTCTACTGAGGATAGCAAAGAACAGGGCTTCATCAATCCTGACACCCAGGAACAGTAAGACCTCTATCTCCAGCCCATACAACAGATGGAATGGCAAGAGATAGTTCCCAAGGTTTACTGTGTCATCAGCCACGCAGGCAAAGCTTTCTTCCTTCTTTCCCAGAATTCCAGAGAGCAGGTTGCTGCTCGGACCATGACATGGTTGTCGGAAACATCATGTTCTATATTATGAAATCCTGTAGGAACCTGGGGACTCCAGGCACATCTTTAGAAATTGGGTGACACACACAAAGGCAAACCACACAACAGCACCTATCACAGAGGCTCTCACCTGTCTCCCCTTGCTGACAAATCTCTTCAGTTATGTGACGCTTCTTATTCGGGGCTCAACTCTGAATGACACTTTCTCTGTAAGGTCTATTTGTCTCCATCTAATCAAGTCTATTTATTTTTTTCTTTCTTTCATTATGTTATTTTGCATTTTATGTTATTTTGCATTTTTTCATTATGTTATTTTACATTAAGCTCATATATCTGTAAACTAGTAAGAGAAAGGACTAGAGGGACGTAACTAGATTGCACAGTGAGACTTGAAATTCTGATTTCTTGCTGACTAGGCTAGGTAACATTGGACAAGTTATTTAGCATCTGAACCAGTTTCTTCATTTATAAGAAAAATGGTGTCAGGAATAAAAAAGAGTAGCAATACATGTTCGAAGCAGGACAAAAGCAGCAATATGGGGATGATGGCACAGGCTAAGTCTATGCCTGGGATACCTGCAACCTACACTGGAGTGCCTGGTTTGAGTTCAGGATCCTTTGCTCTGATTCAGTCTCTTGCTGATGTATATATAGCCTGGGAGGCAACAGATATTGGCTCAAGTTATTTGGATCTCTGCCACCTACATTGGAGACCTGGGTAGAGTTCAGAACTACCAGCTTTGGCCTGGCCCAGCCTTGGCTGTTGTGAGGTATTTATTGAATGAACCAGTGGATAGAAAATATCTCTCCACTTGTCTTAATAATAATAATAATAATAATAATAATAATAATAATAATAAGTAGAAACCTGGGTCCCACAAATGACGAGCTTTCTTCCTTTAGACTTCCTTCTTTAGCCAACAGGCTCTTTGAGGATAACATTTGTGTTTATGAAATGCTTTTCAGGCAAGCTGGTCTTCAACAAATATCTGTGGTCTCCAACTCCCATCAGGTTGTCTTCCCAGACAGATTTAGTTAGAAGCAACAGGAATAGGTGCTAAGAGTGTTTTACACATACTGACTTGCTTTTCATAATGACCTCATGAGGTCAGTTTGATGGCCTCCATTTTATGGATGAGGAAGCAGGTGCAGAGAAATGCAGAACTTTGCTGGAGGTCAAATACTATTAAATGATGGCATGAGGCTGTAGCTCCAGGGCCTCCAGGCCTTACGATCCCAGCTACTAGTTTCTTAGTGGCATCAAATGCATCTGCTCTGAAATAGTTCACATTGCTTTTTGGTGTTATTTAGATCAGATTCTTTTCTTTTTTTCTAGTAATGAGAACAGAGTTGCTTCCACTTTTTCATTCTTTTACTTAAAAATGTCTAAAACGCCCATCATGCTTCTAATGGCTAATGACAATGGTTTTCACTAAGATTTTGCTAAAGATACAAACAGCTCTGCTTCTAAGCAGGAAGGGTCTAATTATGCCTCATGCTATCAACTCCAAGGGTCTTCAACCAGTAAGCATGTTCTTGGCGTTTCATCTGATGGAGCTTCAAGTTGCCTCCGAGCACTGGTGCACTGAGTCAACAACTTGTACAACTGGCTCAGTGGGCAATCAAGGAAACTCACGGAAAGCAGAAAGTTGCATTCCACCAGAAAAAGGATAAGCAATCTCAACCAAGATCTTTGTTTTTAGATAACTTCCAGTTAACTTCATGAAGCCCAATAGTTTTAGTCCCTTCTTTCTTTGTCACCTGTCACCATCCTTCATTTTAATGTCCTGTGCATAAATGACTTAACCAAGTGGAAAGCAGTATGTAAAGGGGAACTGGCTCAAAATAGTGAGTCCTAACTTGCGTGGGACTCACATTTCTAAAGCATTTCACACATTTTTTAATTTCACCAATCCTCACTCCAGTTTTCTGATAAGTACACAACACATCATCTCCATGGAAGAAAACATAGATACAGAGAACTTCAGCAACACAGCAAGTCGGGCACGAATCTGTGCTGCAACCAGTTTCTAGTCAATGTTTCCCCCACATGCAGCAGGGTATTCAGAGGTAACAGGTGGCAGAGAGTGCTGGGGAATAAACATCATCCTTTTTGGGGGAAAGAGGTAGCATTCCTTTCTTTGAAATGGTTTTCGACAGGAGTGGGGTGGGGAAGTCCCTTAATTCCAGGGCTGGTAAATACACTCCTTTAAAGAGATATAAGAACGTAAAGGAGGAAGAATGGCAAGCATTTAGCCACGAAACAATCTCAGTGCCCTCAAACCTGTGTCCTGTATGGATAAACCTGTTTTTCCGTGCTTCTTGCTATTTTGGGAGGAAGGGAGAGGGGCAGGTGCTAAGGATCATAGCAGTCCTCAGGAGATTGCAAAAGTAGTCCTTTCTTCTTATTTCTCAGCCCCTCTCCTTTGGCACATCTTTAAACTGGCCCCGAGCAGCCTCATCCACACTCACCACCTGGGACGCTTGGATGACTAGGTGGTGTCCACTGCTGAAATTCCTCACGTTAAAAAACACGCTATAAAATCCTGCTGTTTATTTTTTTAATTTTTTTTAAACTTGTCAAGATCTGATATCCTTTTTCTATTGCCTTTTTCATTCAGCTTTGTTAGGCAGAGAATATTTGAGAAAAAAGAGTTGCAAATCTTCTTGAGCCTAAAATCGAATGGTATGTGAAGAAAGGAAATCACAAGTTTTAATCAAAGTAAGCAATAATGACAGGTTTATTTAAAATTTCCAGTAGATAAAACCCACTAGTTTTGGAATAAAAGTATTCAATGTACGAGAGCATAAGTGAGTATAAAAGATAAACAGAAGAAAAATATAACCAAACATAGTACAAAAAATTAAGAGTTTGAAAGGGATGTTTTTTAAACTCTTCCAAATATTCAACAGAGTTACTAGGTTTGGCAAACAATTCATTTGGAAATTAAAGTCTATTTCTGTACTGTAAACTCCATAAAAACTGCTTATTAAATTGAAACACTCCATACAATTGGTATTGAAACACATAGGCAGTTGATTTCTGAATGGCAGGAATTACCAATTGCTCTCACAGTTACAGGAATTAACCAGCTGCATAACTGCTTTTTTGGAGGACAGAAGAATGTTGAGAAAAAAAAAGAATTGGATAAAATCTCTAAAAACAGAAACACAGCAAAACTCAGACGTCAGTTTGTTTCTTCAAAGCAACAACCTGAATGTTTCCAGGAGGACAGTCCACAATTGCAGCTGTCCTGTCCCTTCCCCCCAGCCCCAGTCCCACAAAGGCTCCTAAGTTCACTAGTCTAATCAATTCTTAGCTTCCAAATGTTCTGTACATACATATTTAGCAGAGAGCATACGCCTAACATTATTCTGACAGCAGTATGGTCAGCATACGACTTTACGAAGATAACTATGTATATCATCAAGATTAACCTTTACTCAAAAAAATGAACAAAAATCATTATTAAACAAATAGCTTTAAAATATCATGAAAACCCATGGAACGAAACTCAAACATGGGCTCTAAAACCTGATAAAAAACACACTTCAGAATGACTAACTATTAATGCTAAATTTCTGCCAAACGATGACCTTAAAGTGCCAAACACAAAACAATCTCTCAGGCCCATTCTTTTAGTAGGTAATCTGTCCCTGGCTTGGCCATCTCTCCTTAAGCTATATAACAAATTCTGGTAAGAATCTGCATTTTAGTTGATTTTACAACAGAATGGTTCAATGTAAACAAAACAGGTTCTCCACATCAACAGTATGTTACCAAGGATTTTCGATTTCTGAACCCAACAGTTGGTCACAGAGGTCAAGTACGATCAAGGCTCCTTTGTCAGTTCCCAGTTGTGTCTGACTCCTCCATCCTTCAAGTACATGCAAGGCTCAATAGCGTTCATCAAGGGGCAGAAGCCCGAGGCTGTTTAAGACACAGATGAGATGGGGTTGTGAGGCGAGCCCATCTGAGTCAGGACTTTATCCAGCCACTGGAGGGGGCCGTGCAGGTGGATCTCGATCCAGCAGGGGGTGCTGGTAACATCCTGGCGGTGGTACTCTGCTCCCCAGCCCTAGAGAAAGCATACAAGTAGTTCAGCTTGTTTAATTAACTCAATGGTTACAACTTACTCTGTGACTGTATCAGCAACGAAAAAATTTGCACACATGCACATGTGTGATCTGGCGGGTGCCTGCAGAAAATGGGCATCATCTCCTTGAAGTCCATCCAGGAAGAAGCATGGACAGTTTTCAATGCATTTTAGCTGTCTTAACAAAGGCACTATTTAACGTTGATGTTCATTGTCCATCTCATTACTTGTAACTGCTATTAGTACATCCTCATTTTATCATGGAAACAAACAAACAGCTACATTAGATTCACACTCTGCTACATCTACATTTAGCCCCTGAAGTTCCTCCTGGCAACACGAAGCACGAAGCACGTGGTCTTTGTGTCTCTAAGCAAAAGTGACAGGAACACAGTGAAAGCAGCCCAAAGCTCTCAGACACCTAGCCACTACTCTAAATCAACATTCCACCATTCATCTGCACAAGAGGCTTAACCTGGGCTAGACAGCTTCTGAATTACAGAACTGAGAACACTAAGTCAAAATCAGAAAGTCATTCCAAAAACAGAGAACATGGGTCCAGCGGCGTGGCCTAGCAACTAAAGTCCTCGCCTTGAACACCCGGGATCCCATATGGGCGCTGGTTCTAATCCCGGCAGCTCCACTTCCCATTCAGCTCCCTGCTTGTGGCCTGGGAAAGCAGTCGAGGATGGCCCAAAGCTTTGGGACCCTGCATCCACGTGGGAGACCCTGAAGAAGTTCCTGGATCCTGGCTTCGGATCGGCATAGCATCAGCCATTGCGCTCACTTGGGGAATGAACCATCAGACGGAAGATCTTCCTCTCTGTCTCTCCTCCTCTCTGCATATCTGACTTTCCAATAAATAAGTAAAACTTAAAAAAAAAAAAAACAGAGAACAAGGCTTTTGGTACTGTAAAGATCCAAAACTCACTGCCATGGATGGAGGGTAGAATACAAAGTTCTGGGCAAGCCCTGAGTCACGAGGGGTATCAGAGAAGCTCAGGCTTTGCCGATCTCTGCTGTCTACCTACTTCAGCAGTTTCCAGAAAAACACCTGAATAATGAAAGTTCCAGGAGAAATCTATGACATGAACCACACTTGCATGTGTAAACCATACATTTGTATATGTATCAAAAAATTTCTACATTTATTCAACAGGTTTGTTTGGGGCCAGTGCAGTGGTATAGTAGGGTTATCCTCTCCCTACTGGAGCCAGCATCCCATATGGGCACTCATCCATGTCCCTGCTGTTCCTCTTCTTATCCAGTTCCCTGTTTATGGCATGGGAAGCAACAAAGGATGGTCCAAGGCCCCATGTGGGAGCTTCCGGCTCCTGGAATAGGCCAGCCCAGCTCTGGATGTAGCAGCCATTTAGGGAGTGAACTAGCAGATGGAAGAGCTCTCTCTGTCTCTCCTTCTCTCTGTGATTCTGACTTTCCATTAAACAAGTAAATCTTACACTTACACACACACACACACCAAGCAACAGGTTCATTTATACGCCTTTTGCCCCACTAAACAGTAAGCTCTCTCTTGGGCCCGGCGCGGTGGCGCAAGTGGTTAAAGGTCCTCGCCTTGCATGCCCGGGATCCCATATGGGCGCCGGTTCTAATCCCGGCAGCCCTGCTTCCCTTCCAGCTCCCTGCCTGTGGCCCGGGAAAGCAGTCGAGGACAGCCCAAAGCTTTGGGACCCTGCACCCGCGTGGGAGACCTGGAAGAGGCTCCTGGCTTCGGATCGGCATAGCATCGGCCCGTTGCGCTCACTTGGGGAGTGAATCATCGGATGGAAGATCTTCCTCTCTGTCTCTCCTCTCTGTATATCCGCCTTTCCAATGAAAAAAATAATAAAAATAAATCTTAAAAAAAAAAAACAGTAAGCTCTCTGAAGGCAGAACTTCATCTCTGCCCTCCAACACCAGGCACGGCGATCAGCACAAAGCAAAGGCTCCAGAAATATTTGTTCAGCAGAACTGACTCAGCATTTTCAGATATTTGCATGTTTAAGGTGAATAATTTGTAAAATGCGTGTTTAATAATGATGTCCCCAAATGATCACCTTGGAAACAGTATACATTTGGTTATTAACATTAGCAAAGGGTTTTAGATACTTCAAAGATTTTCAGTGGGGAAGAACAACGTGTGCGGCCCTCTTGTTGCTTAAGCAGCCACTAGCGGTGGTGTTAGCAAGATTTCTTGATAAGACTTACTCAGCTTCAAGTCTCTAAATCCAGAATCTCAGGTGTTAGAGCTTGCCTAACTCTCCACACTAAGGCATAGCATATGACATATTATACTGCAATCAAATGGGCACTACACAAAAAACCTCTTTAACAGAACTGTGCTACCATATTTGTGGAATGAATGAACTGAACATTTTCAAGTATAGATTTGTGTCACAAATACTTTTATTGGTGTAAGAATTGTGTTTGAGTACACTATTAAACTTGTACAGAAGTACAACAATTAAAATGGACCATATAATCAATAGGCAATGAGCTTGAGGGAAAGGCTTACTGGAGTCTGAGAGTTCTAAGTTCTCCTAGAGGACCCTTTGGTAGTAACAGAATTATCAGGGATTGCACAGTAATTACTGCAGTTGCCCGCTCTCTACAATCCCATTCTAAAGATGACAAATGTGAGGACCAGGCAAGAGCCCCTGAGTCCCACAGTAAAGGGAAAGTCACTGTCCTCTTTTAAAAGCCCACAAGTTGGGTCTAGCACAGTGGCTCAACAGGCTAAGCCTCTACCTGCAGCACTGGCATCTCATATGAGTGACAGTTCATGTCCTGGCTGCTCTACTCCCCATCCAGCTCCCTGCCTGGGAAAACAGAGGAAGATGGCCCAAAGCCTTGGGAGCCTGCACCCACATGGGACACTCAGAAGAGGTACCTGGCTTCTGACTTTGGACTTGCTCTGGTTCAGCCATTGTGGCCATTTGGGGAGTGAACCAGCCAATGGAAGATTTCTTTCACGCTCTCTCTTCCTCTCTGTAAATCTGTCTTTCCAATAAAAATAAGTAAATATTTTCAATAATCATATTAGCCAAAATGCTAAGTCAGAGTCTAAAGAGTGGGTGTCATCAACAGGTAAGAAAGGTCATTTGTGCACAGTATACAGGTCAAACTCCTTCAGGAAGAAAAACATCTTCCTATAATATTGAAGAGGTTACAGCCTCCACTCCAAGGAACTGCTGAATTCTATATCCAGAAAAAAACATGCTAAAACACGGAGAGTCTGCTGAAGTGACTCCAAGTTGTAGTTGATGAAATGACACTCAGGAAAGGACATACTGGATATAAAGGATAATTAACAACATAAGGTTCTCAAATTATCCTCAGGAATAAACATGACAAAACAGGTTTCACAACAAGCTGGGTGAGCTTCTGAAGACAAGACACACACGGTGACTGCCTCACGTATAATTAGGCCTACTTCTCCAAGTAACAAGATGAAAATTTATCCCTGAGAACTTGGGGACAAGAAAGAAGGCCAATACAGGAGGGCACTGACTCATGAAATCCAATCAAATTTTTACATTCTAAATTTCAATGGCACCTTGAAGGGTTTTACTCATGCAGGTATGACATGTCAACTTCATTATTATGAGCCTCATTTCTCAAAATTTCAAATATAATTTTAGAGCTAAAGCATCTGTTTTCCTTTGGTTGAGGACCTTATTATCCTAATTATTATTTTTATTTTCTGAAAGGGAAAGAGGAGGGAGACAGAGAGATGTAAGGAGAGAGAGAAAGGGAAAGAAAGAAAGGGAGAACGATGTCCCATCTGTTGGCTCACTCTCTGACCGCCCTCAACAGCCAGGCAGGTTCAGGGCAAAGTGAGAGTGGGGCACTCCATGCATGTGTGTGGCAGGAATCCAAGTCCTTATGCTTTCATTCCTGCCTCCCAGGGTGTGCATTAGCAGAAAGCCAGATTAGAGAGGGAGCAGCCAGGATTTGAACCAGACACTCCGACATCAAATAATGGTGTCCCTAGCGGCTGCTTAATTGTTGCTACACAAAATACCAACCCCAACTTTACTTTTAGATGTGAATCTTTTTAATTGTCCATTTGTTTATTTCAGAGGCAAAGAGACAGAGCTTTCACCTGCTGGTTTACTCCCCACAAAACCCACAATACTTAGGACTGAGAGGGGCTAAAGTCAGGAGCAAGGAACTCAATCCAGGTCTTGGCTGTGGGTGGTAAGTACCCAGTTACCTGAGTCATCACTGCTGCTTGCAGTGTCTGTATTAGCAGAAAGCTGAGGACAGGAGCTAAGCTAGGTATCAAAACCAGGTACTTGGTTATAGGATGCTGGCTGTTAGACCAGATCTAAACTTCTGTAACAGTCGAAAATCATGAAGTTTACTGGAACCATTAAAAAAGACCACAAGAACTGTTTCCAGTGTGATGCATTTTTAGCAGATTACTTACATATCACAGAAACAAAAGCAACAACATTATCACGTTTAAATTGTGTTAAACATATAATATAACATATTCCAATGGTGTTAAATAGCAGGACAGAATTACTTGAATAAAGAAAGGGTAATAATTCCTACCGCTATTGATGTTTAACTGCTATGTTCCAATTATACCCTCCTAAATGACAGCCCTGTTAAACTGTAAAAGTGCATAAATACTGGGCTAGCTCATAGGGACAACCGAGTATGTCAAGAGCATACGGACTTACCCACTGAGAGCCTAGAGCAATAAACGCATGCTGAGCCCTCCCAAGAGGCATTCCAGCTCACTCACCTTTACGAAGCTCATGCGTATGGTACACATCTTTGTAAGCTCATAGACGGTCTCAAAACCATGGTTCACCGACTGGGCCAAGAGCTGAGCAAACTCTTGGTTGTTAAAAATTTTCAAGCTACACCCACTAGGAATCTTGCACACTGTAGTGGGGTGAAATCCATGATGATAGTTGCAGTTCCGGCTTTGCACAAAGATGCTACTGTCACTGAGGCATTCCGCGTACACCTCCCCTCCAACGTAATAAAGATGAACTCCTGCAGGAAAAAAGCACATGGTCAGTCGCGCGAGCCATTGCTGTGTGGCGGAATGGCACTTGTGCAGTTCCAACAGACACACACACATCTTACAGGACTTAAGCTTGCCCTGGTTAGACACATCTAAGTCTTACACAACCAATAAAATCTGAGGTTAACCATGTTAGTTAACAAGATATCCAGGTGTCAAAGCGTGTCTAAGGAGGCTCCTAGGAAATAACAGAATAAAAGTTTCTCAAAAATAATTACAAGTAGAACAATTTCACTTTGATAAGTGCTTTATAAGTGCCAAGTCTACCTGGCTGCAGACAGAAGCTACTTTCCCACCTTACAAACACAGCATCGGAAGACAGGTTCCTTTGTGGGAGTCTCATACTACATGACCTTCTAGAAGCAGCTAAGCTGCTTTGGAGGTTTTACGGTGCATAGGTAAAAAGAAAATCGAACTAGAAAATTGCACGTGGAAGAGATACTGCTGACAGCTTATGAGGTTCAGTGAAAAAAAAAGCAGAAATAAACTAGAATAATTCCTACGACGTGAAACAGGATCCCATCAGGCTCCTGCCTCCTATAGACCTCTTCCTGCGAGACCCAGTGTGCCAGGAGCATAGGACACTGACCTCACCCAGCTTTTTCAAAAAGTAAAAAAGGAAATCCACCCATTGCAGCAACCCTCACACCATTAAAGAGAGATGATTTTACACAGACCACCAAGGAAGCAAAGCCATGCCCCCTGTGCCTTCCATCCATCCGCCTCGCATGTTCTGGCATGGTTTCCTGGGTGCGAAAATACATGTCCCATGCAAACATTGTGCTGTGTCTGTATGTGTACACAAGGGTTAACACTTTGGAATAATCACAAAGTTGCTGAGGCAGAAGCCTATTTTTTATTTATTTATTTTTTGGTATGAGGTAGGAAAAATTATTTAAAAGTGTGTGTGTGTATACCTTCTTCCCGATTCTAAAAATTACAATTTTTAATTGAGAAAATTTAAAAAGAAAAATCAAAATGTAAAGAGGCAGAAAGTATTATCATCCTCTAGTAAGCTAGAGGTAATAATTGCTAATAGTTTGACACATTATATTCCCATTTGGGTCTCATTAAAATTTTTGGCAAACAGTTACAATATCTGCATGATGGTGTATGTATGTAACAATTTTACAATTCTCCAATTAGTGGACTATTGGGTTGACAATTTTATTATTGCAACAATAACATGACAAATGTTTCTGGGCAATTTCTGACAATATTCTTAGAGATTCCTGGAAGTGAAGTAAGTAATTGAAGGTTTTTAATTCACTATGCCAAAGACTTTCCAGAATGCTGGAATCAACTTACACTTTCACTAGTAATGTCTAAGAGCCTTTCTCATTTTATTCCTGCTTGTACTGAACTTGAGCTTAAAACAAAAACAATGGGCCCAGCGTGGTAGTCTAGTGGCTAAGGTTCTTGCCTTGAATGCGCCGAGATCACATATGGGTGCCGGTTCTAATCCCGGCGGCCCTGCTTCCTATCCAGCTCCCTATCCAGCTTGTGGCCGGGGAAAACAGTCAAGGATGGCTCCAAACCTTGGGACCCTGCACCTGCATGAGAGACCAGGAAGAAGCTGTGGGCTTCTGGCTTCGGGTCGGCATAGCTCTGGCCATTGTGGTTACTTGGGGAGTAAATCATTGGATGGAAGATCTTCCTGTCTGTCTCCCTCCTTATCTATATATCTAACTTTCTAATGAAAATAAATCTTTAAAAAATGTTCTTTAACTTATAATAGCTAGAAAATAGTTCAATTGTTTTTAATTTATATGCTACTCTCATGGCTTTTTTTTTTTGAGCCATTTGTTTCTCCAATAGATACATTTTTTAAGTTATTGAAGTTTAAAGTGTTTTAGTCAAATATCTAGCAATATTTTATTTTTAATTTAAGAGAGCGGGGGAAAGAGGGAGTGATGGGGAGGGGAGAGAGAGAGAGAGAGATGAGGCCAGGGGTGAGTGCTGCTCATATGCTGGTTTACTCCTCTAATGCCTACTACAATGGTCAAAGGCCTGCATGAAGCTGGGAGCCAGAAAATCAATCCAGACCTCACAGCTGAGTGGCTGCAGCCCGATTACCCAGGCCATGACTGATGCCTCTCAGTGTCTACACTAGCAGGAAACCCAGGAATCTGGAGTCAGGAGCTAGAGGTGAGTATTGAACCCATGTGCTTCAGTATGGGACCTGGGCTTCTGAGTTACTAGGCCAGCCTCACGCTGCTTTGTGCTTGGAAAATTTCTACCTCTCCAATCGATTCATTTTCTTCTAGCTTTTAAGTAATTCTTTAAAAATATCCAACTCATTATAGTGTTTTCATTTATGGTATGAGGTCAGAGTTTTTACCCCTGGCCCCACTCAGAAGTTCACTCTGCCACTATAGGACCATTAGAAGACCTTATGATTTGTTATACTTCACTTTAACATGCATTAAATTTTTATACACAGTCTTAAAATATACAGTCTGAGTTCAATTTGCCTATATGCAAATTATAGTTTTACAACTTAATTGTAGTTTTATAAGTTTTAGAATGTTTTATTAACTCTAACATAGGGAAATTTTTCCTTACTCATCTATTGAATAAGTTAGCTATTCTCATTTTTCTCACTTGCTTATACTTCCAGGTAACAGAAAAAATACATTATCCAGCTTTTGAAAAACACCACATTGTGATTCTGACAAGAACTGCTTTAAAGTTCAAGTTAAATTAGGAAGGACTAACAACCTTAAGGTGCTTTCACAGTACTAAGCTCTCCCTTTAAACAGAATAGGACTGTCTACTGGGGCAAATTTTCTTTCTCTCTCAGCACAGCTTTATTTTCTTCTTGTAAATCTCACAAAAGGAAAGCTTAGATTATTTCCAAAACTGTATGGTCCTGTTCCTATTGGGAACGGACTTTGCCTTTCACGTTGGTTTTCAGCTGGTGCTTGCCATTGTAAAGGAAAGGGACTTGGGCAATACTTAACAAATGGAGTCTCTGCAGGTTTCTACATAAGCAAGCCCATCCCTGGAACAGATACAATGCCCATCCCTACAGTGTCATGGCTGAGGAAGGCGCTCACCTCCTGCAGCAGGGGTGTCAATTACTCCATGCTCCCTGGGAAGTAACTTGGCAAACTCTCAAGAGCCTCTCACCTACTAATTTCACTTCAAGGATCTACCTAAGAATATTATCAGTCCTATCATCCACAAATAATGATCAGCTTGGCTCATTTCTGTGATCTGTAATTCTACAGCTGAGTACAGCACTCAGGGCATTTGAAACGATCTTGAGTAACAGCATTCCCAGAATCCGATCTTCATCCCTGTTTTATTTTAAAAGAGTAACATACCATAGTCCACAGCTTTTGGGGTAGTAGCTTTAGAATTGAAGGGAGAATATGCCCTTCTACCCCAAGTGTATGCCAAATAGTGTTGATATGCATTTTTTCTTCTTTTTAAAATATCTTATTTATTTTTATTGAAAAGGCAGATAGAGAGGAGGAGAGACAGAGAGGAAGATCTTCCATCTGCTGCTTCACTCCCCAAGCAGCCGCAATGGCTGGAGCTGAGCCAAACCAAAGTCAGGAACCCGGAGCCTCTTCTGGGTCTCCCACGCAGGTGCAGGGCCCCAGGCTTTGGGCCATCCTTGACTGTTTTCCCATTCCACAAGCAGGGATTAGAACCGGCCCCCATATGGGATCCCAGTACATGCAAGGTGAAGACTTTAGCCACTGCGCCACCCCACCGGTCCCCAGATACGCATTTTGAGGGGATTCCAGCCAGACTGCTATGCATGTTTGGAATCTAAGTTCTTCTCTCCTCTAGCCCATTCAGGACTCTTCCTGCTTTAAGAGCTACTGTGGTCCCCTCAGCCAGGATCTCTCAAATGCTTTTTGAGTGTTTATTAAAAAAAACTTTTAATCTGGTTCAGTATTCTAAATTTCACAGCAGGTCCTTTACAAAAAAACTCATTCTGGAAATAATTTCAAGCTTACAACAAATTTAAAGCAGAACACAGAAGAAACAAAAAGAATGAAAAACAAGCATATAACCATTTTCCAATCATCTATTGAGACAGCTCACTCCATCTTCTTGACCATGCATTCTACACACACACACACACACACACACACACACACACACACAGGGCTCTTTTACAGAGACAGATGGGGAGTAGACAGGTATCTTCCTCTTTTAACCATTTCATCATGGTTATTCACTTCCTAACTACTTATTTCTGGTTTTTCTTTTTAAAATTTAGTCATTTGAAAGGCAGAGTTAGAGAGAGATGGAGATCAGATTTACTTTACTCTCTATGCTATGGCGTTGGCCCCCACATAAGTGTATTTCTTAAGAAAAGGGATAGCATAGCCACAGCATGGTGAGCGATATCAACACATTTAACATCAAGCTAATCTAACCATTCAATAATGTTCTTCGTAGCATCTTTCCCTGTTCAGTATTGGGTTTTATCAATGGTCGGGTATTGCATATAGCAGTATCTCTTAAATTTCTTTTCACTTGGAACATACAGTTTGCTTTCACCTTTTTGAGTAACATGTTAAATGTTTTGGGTCTGTCTGGTATTTCCTCAGGAATAGGCTCAATTCTGCATTTTCAGTCAGAATTCTGCATGAGTCATGTTATGGTCTTCTCTGGCTATCACATCTGGAGGTACAGGATATCCATCCGTCCTGTATTAGTGATGTGTGTGTGTGTGATTCAGATGGATACAGACACAAAGAAAAAGCTTCCATCAGCTGGGCTGGTTCACTTCCCAGATGCCCACAACCCTAGCTGGGGCCAAAGTCAGGTGTCAGGAACTCCATCTGTGAGTGGCAAAGAACAGCCTAGCTGAGCCATCTCTGCTACCTTTGAGGATTCTTGATGGCAGGAAGCTGGCAAGTATCAAACTCAGCTTCTCCACTGTGAAATGTGGGTGTTTTAATCAGTATCTTCACTGCTAAGACCAACACCCACCCCTGTGATAATTCAATATCTTAGTTTTGACGGGGGCAGTCAAATATCTGGTTACAACCAATATACAGATTTTATAATTTCTCTACTGTATAACAGCTGCTACAGTTTTCTTGTAATTAGTAAGTAGTTTCTGGCACACAATACAAAAGATTTTTTTTTTAATTTATTTGAAAGGCAGAGTGACAGAGAGGGAGAGACAGTGGGAAAGAGATCTTCCCCCTGCCGATTTATTCCTCCAGTGGGTCAAGTCTTCCAATGACACAGCTGGGCCAGGGCAAGTCCAGAAGTCAGGAACTCCACTGCGGTCTCCCATGTGGGTGGCAGGGGCCCAAGCACATGCTCCCTCTTCTGCTGCTAGGAAAGCACATTAGCAAGCAGCTGGATCAGAAGCAGAACAGTAGGGACAGGAATCTGTGTTCTGATGCGGGATGTCCATGTCCCAAATGGTGACTTAACGAGCTGCCACATGTCGGTTCCCACAGACAGGCACTTAAGATTTATTTAGTTATCTATTATTGGAAAGTCAGATATACAGAGAGGAGGAGAGACAGAGAGGAAGAACTTCTGTCTGCTGATCCACTCCCCAAGTGGCTGCAACAGCGGGAGTTGAGCCAATCCGAAGCTAGGATTCAGAAGCCTTTTTTCCAGGTCTTCCACACAGATGCAGGGTCCCAAGGATTTGGGCCATCCTTCACTGCTTTTCCAGGCCACAGGCAGGGACCTGGATGGGAACCGGGGCCACAGAAATGAGAACCAGTGCCCGTATGGGATCCTGGCACATGCAAGGTGAGGACTTCAAGCACTAGACTATTACACCTGGCCCCACAGATAGACACTTTAAAACCATGCAAATATCTAGATTCATAAAAAAGTTCTCATGTCTTTTAGTAGCCACTGATGACTCTTGCTATTATGCTGCCTGTAAAACAATTATTTTCCAACTCTTGCACTCACTCTACATTTGCCAATCAGCCTTCTGCTTTCTTTCATTTCTATTACTGCTTTGAATACATAAAGTAGTATTTTCTCAGTGGTTTACAATTCATTACCACAATTATTCTGGATCTCAATTTGTCTCATAATTGGACAGTGGAAGCTCTTAGGTTGGCTCCTGTGACACCCTCATCGTTGCCATTAGCATGTCTATTTTCTGCCACAATGAAATGTTTCAAGCTTATCTTCTGCCTATGTGCCCCAGCCTTAGAGTCAAGTCCAAGGAGTCTTGGGCATCCTTAGTGGGAGACGGTGTGAGCCATAATGCTCTGGCCCTACGTGTTCTTTTTGCTATGAGTTGTCTCTCAGCCTTTCAGCAGACACCTATTCATACACACACACTCACACACATGTATTGTGGAGATCATGACTTCATACTGAAACCTCCCCACTATCCTCCACAGAGGGTTTCCCCCCACCCCGCCTCCACATTTGTATCTCCCTTACCTCATGGGGTCAACAAAGCTCCTTCTACCCCTTTGTTTGCTTACTCCGGTAATACGTCTAAAAGACACAGAACTGGTCTACTCATTTCACTAACAAATAATCAAGGCTACAAAAGAGTCCAGAGTTCATGTGGAAGCCCTCCTCGTGACACCACCACACCCATTCCAGAGTGAGGACACACTCACACTATCAAATACTGTACTAGTGTATTAACAGTCCCTCAGGGGGTCAGTACTGTGACTCCGTGGATTAAGCTGCTGTTTGTGACATCAGCATACCATATCAGAGTGCTGGCTCGAGTCCTGGGCTGTTCTGCTTCTGATTCTACACTCTACAGATGTGTCTGAGCAACAGAACACAAAGTACTTGGGTCCCTGTCACCCATGTGGGAGACCTGGATAGAGACCCCGGCTGTTGAGGCCATCTGGGGGAAATGAACCAGCAGACTGGAAGAGTTGTCTGTTTCTGCCTCCTCTCCTCTCTCTACCTTTCAAATAAATACACAAATCTTTAAAACATAATAGTTTTCGCTCAATTGTGGTGTTCATTTGAAATAAGGTTTATTTGTTTCAATTTTAGGCTTTAAGTCATTGTTTAAAGATTTTTGAAAGAGTGACAGAGAAAGAAAGATCTTCCATCTGTCAATTCACTCCCAAAATGCTTGCAACAGTCAGAGCTAAGTCAGGAGGAAGCAGGCATCTAGGTCTCCTAGTAGGGTGGCAGGAACCCAAATGCTTCGACTATCATCCATCCTCTGCCCCTCAGATGCTTTAGCAAGGAGGTAAATCAGAGTGCAGGGCAGCTGGTACTTGAACCAGGCACTCTGCTAAGGAATATGGACTACTTCCAGGTGACAGCTTCACTCACCGTGTCCCACTGTGTGATCTAGAAAGTCAACTGTTACGATAGGATAGGTTATTTTAGCTGACATATTGATGCTATTAAGAGTTGGCAGACCAGAAACATTACACTAACTGGAAGAACTTCCAGATAACACAATTTGGAGAAATATTCACAGATTGCAGCAAGTGAACATTAGCTGGAGTCTGCTAAACAGCAGTGACTAGGTAGGCTCTGGGGGAACAGGGACACATCGGAAAAACATTTGGAAGGGGTTAAAGTGAGAACTCACCTTTTCCAATATGCCGCCTGGTGTTTTCAATAGTGGAATTCCGGTTAACATTGGAGAGCAGCCCAAGGCAGAAACGGTTCTTATTGTTGGAAGGATCGGTGAAACCATCCACCAACACACTCGTGGAGGAGGCATGGAATGCCTCGCCCACACGGTTGTTGAGCTCATAGTAGACAATAGAGCACCAGTGTTTTGGTTCCTCATAGGCAACTACCTGAACATCTGCAAGAAAGAAATGGCTGTATCAACCAAGGTTTGCCCCTCCGGCTCTCAGAACTGAAACTGTTGTTAAAACTGGCTTAGGATCATGGAACAAAAATACAGAAAAGCCATTGCTATTTTAACATATGTAACTTGTCTATGATGTCTAAAGCAGAAACTTCTTAAAGTGTGGCATCCTCCTTTAGCTGGAAAGCATGTCCTCCAATTAGTATCTGAAAATCAAAATGCAAGCTTAACCAGCATAGCAACTGCATTTGCTGGATCCTGACCTACTTCCTCCCTAATGTACAGCCAAGGGGATGGCACTGCAGCCACAGACCCTAGCTTAGGATCTAAATCAATGCAGAAGTGACAAGTAACAAAACAAGTAGGAAGAGAACAATAGAGGGCAGGAAATAGGCCAAAGGTGCTGGCATAAAAAGCAATGACTTTTGGCAAAGTCTTAGTGCACCTATGTCTTTTCAGAGTAATGAAAATCAACCTCTAATTATTAGTAAGAAGTTACTTGACTTCACACTAAGTTGCCAATAATGATTACAGCTACAATTTTGCTCCAGTTCTCAAACTCAGGAAGAAATCTTGCCAGCTGGCCATTCTTCCAGAATGAATCATATCTCTCTCATCCAGATTTCACGGTAACTTCCTTATATTTGCTTTAAGTCATGCAGAGCAGGTGTGTTTTGTCTCTCCATTCCCAGAATGGGCCAACAATGGAAATTACCCAACTTTACTGACAGGATGCAGCTTGTTAAGTCAAATCTCTTAAGACTAACAAATCTCCAAACAGAACACGCTTCTAAACATTTGCAGCTAAAAGGTTTTAAAGATAAGTTCCTTCTGTAGTAAAACCTCTTGTACTGCCGCTGTAGAGATTCCAGAAATACAAACCGTGTATTTCCAGCAGACTGGAATGATCTGAGAGTTATGAACTCTTGAGCGCACAATCATTTAAAAAAGAAAAAAAAAAACAACAAATGAAAGAAAGACGCCAGGAAAGCAAATCCACATCGGAAGTGTGGACTGTGAAACTGCTACAGCATAAGCACCTTGATGTTTCTCATATCAGGTTCACAAAGGTTAAAATATACTTTACATTAGAATCTAGTAAAAAAAAAAAAAACAAAGAAATTGTTCTCTGAAATGCGCACATCAGTTGCTTGCATGCTTTAGAGGACTAGCTGAAAATGTGCACTGCTTGCTAACAATCACCACCCGTCAAGTTGTACTATTCTGAAGAGCAACTCCTGAGTGCTGAACCTTAGTGAAGGTGGCGACATCATCAACAGAAAACATTCATCACCTATCGGGATTATTCATGCTATTTGTCTAGGTCGGAGCTTGCCAAAATTTTTTTCTATAAAGGCCAGAATGGATTTGCAGATCATATGGTCTTTCTCCACTCGACGCTGCACAAAACCAGTCATAGATAACACATTGTGAGTGAACATAGCTGTGCTCCAACCAAGCTATAGTTAACACAGCAGGCAGCAGACTGAGTTGGCCTGTGGGTTGTCCCGTGCCGACAGACTCTAACTGCAGGAACACCACCAAGGACAAAAAGAGAGGTTAACATTCCTTCTCATCAAAATATCGGCCAACTGTAAACTTTCCTAATGGTGACTACTTTAAGCAATGTAAAGGAAAGGAGTTTAAAGGTCTGTTTTCTAAAACCACACATTTTAGGCTTAACAACAGTTATGAAGTCAAAATACTCTTCAAGGTATAGAATGCTATGTCCATTCTCTGTGGCTATCCCTTTCTTCCAACACAGACTCCAAATACATGAGAAACAGGTGTTGTTTTCCCCAATGGAAGTTTTTATTCAGGAGGAGAGTGTTTGGCACAATGGTTAGGAAACTGCCTGGGGAACCTGTATCCCATATTCGAACACCTGGATTAGAGGCCCAGCTCCACTTAAAAATGCCAGCTTCCTGCTAATGTGCTCATGTGTACCACCATGGTAACAGTACTTGGGCCGCTGCCCCCTACGTTGGAGACCTGGATTAGTTCCTAGTTCATGACTCTGGCCTGGCTTACTCCTGGCCATCGTGATGATTTGGTGAATGAATCAGGGAATAGTGTCTCTCTTTCTGTCTGCCTCTAAAATAAATCAAAGTTGGGTCTGGCGGTGTGGTCCAGTGACAAAAGTCCTCACCTTGAAAGCCTGGGATCCCATGTGGGCATTGGTTCTATTCCCGGCAGCTCCACCTCCCTTCCAGCTCCTTGCCTGTGGCCTGGGAAAGCAGTCAAGGACAGCTCAAAGCTTTGGGACCCTGCACCCACATGGGAGACCCGGAAGATTTTCCTGGTTCCCGGTTTTGGATTGGCACAGCACCGGCCATTGTGCTCCCTTGGGATGGAAGATCTTCCTCTCTGTTTTTCCTCCTCTCTGTATATCTGACTTTGTAATAAAAATAAATAAGTCTTTAAAAAAATAATAAATCAAATTAATTTTAAAAGAATTTTTATTTGTTTGCTCATAATTCCATAACTGAAAGGATGGTCTAGAGTTAATCAGAAACAATAAAATATGGAAGCAATTAAAAAATATAAAATATTTGTTGATTACAAGGGCATAGATCTGAATGCATTACATTGTACATCTAAGAAATGTTCTTTCAATATTAATATTTGTAAACAAAATGTTTTATAGCTATTTTAACCTCACAGCAGAACTGAGTGTGAGGTAGAGAGATTTCCCATGTCTCCCTGTCCTCTACAAACGAATTCTCCCATCAGGATGGAATATGTGTTAAAATTAATGAACCAACATCTGTATGTCATTATCATTCAGGGTCCACTGTTTACCTCAGGGTTCATCTTGCTGCTCTACATTCTGAGGGTTTGGACAAAGACCATGAATGACACACAGCTACCACTGGAGTATCTACAAACATCAGCAAATCAATCAGTGCCTCAACAATCGAAGCAACTTTGATAAAGTTTTAGGTGCCTCTTATCTGAATTTCAAAAAAAGAGCAAGAATGAAATAAGACACATCAGAGCAGCTTCAGAAAGTTCAGACAAAAATTTCATCCAAAGTTTACTTTTGTACAAATTTTTTTAAATCCATGTGTGTGTGATCTTGAAACAAATCAAGGAAATAGTGTATTGTTAAAAAACTATGTATGGGTTTCAAAATTTTCTTGCACTGAAAAAAGTCATTTCTTTAAATTCCATTTTCTGAAGTGTTCCATATCCAGCAGTCGGGGTGCATTCTAACTTCAGTTTGCATAAACTTTACACACATTGAATGAACCATGCCTTGTGTGCATCAGCAAAGCACTATTTTCTCCATAAGGGCTTCCGTGGGGGTAGTTTCATTCAACAAAGTGGCCACAGCTTCTTACAGCAGCTCAGCAATTCTATATTCTACTTTCTTGCCTGGTCTCTGCTCCTTCAGCCTAGTCCACTGGCCCCTGTAGACCTGGAAGAATGAAAGCTTTGCCTGCTTGGTCATGGCCGGGATGAGTAGAACTGCCAATGAAGAGCTACTCTTTGCTTGCAAAATATCTCATAAATGTTCAGCTCTGCTTATAAACTTTTCAGAGTGAAAAGACAAAGAATGACCCACTTCTCAGATAACAAAGTCGGGAATAAAAACAACAAGAAAGAAGCCAATGCTGCCAGCGTGTGTGTTCCAAAGCCTGAGAACAGGTCAGGTTCATGAACGTCTGGTCTAACTACAGAAGAAACCTTTTGTGGAAAGCCCAGTTAGAGGCCCTGGCGATTTCAAAATCACCTGTGAAAACTCAACTTCAGCTTTTGTCTACTGCTTCTCAACTTCTCCTTGTCCAGCGGAAAAGATTCTTTCCATCACCAATTCACAATGAGTACTGAGATGGCAAAAAGCAAAATGATACTCAGACCTTTCTTAGTTGGATCAGTGTGTCTGTTCATTAAAGACCTACTCATTATACAAAGAATTCTATGGAGTCTCTTATTACGGTGCTTTATTTTTATTAGCTATTTTTTTTTTAAAAGAGCAATAAAAATTCTGAGAGAGAATGCAACAGTTGGATAAACATTAGACTCTACATCAGAGATCATTTTACCTCCTCTGTTGATGTCCGCGGGCAGTGAAGGTGCCATCATGTTTGTGTCCATTGGTTGGGAGCCATCCTGGGTCATGGCGTCTTCAGGAGGCAGGTAAGCAGGTGGGGGCGTATCGGCTGCAAAATTTAAGAGAATGACTTCTGTTTCTTTCTCTCTCTCTCTCTTTTTTTTGTAATTAAAAATATTTATACAAAGAGAAAACAGATTCAATGTGTCCCACATACACAATTTTAAGCCCATGCCTGCTTATACTCTCCTCTATGCCAAAATTCTTCAGAGAACAAGCTGGAATTTCAACCTCTTGCCAAAACTGAGTAGACACTACAGACCCTGGGCTTGACGTACAATTTCTGAAAATCATCATGCATGCTAGCAAAGTTGGGGGAGGAAGTCTCTACGTCAGCTCCAGAAGACACGTACCCAAGCCAGGATCATGCCATTTTTAAAACAAGGCCTCTGTTGGAGAGGACACGCTCTCTGCGACTTCAGTTTCACGGGTACACAGAAGACTGCACGGGACTTAAGGAAGGCAGTCTCAGGAACAGAACCTACAGACCAAGCTGAGCATCACTCCAGCCTAAATTCCTTTAAAGCTTCCAAGATTGTCAGCCATCTGTCATGTCAGGACTCCCTTTCCCCTATCCATGTAAATAACCACCTATTTTAAAACCTCTACTAATAAAATGATGGGAAATAAACCACTTATTGTAACAGTTTCCTATTTCAGAATTTACAGATGCTTCGCCTGAAGAGCACACAGACAGGTGGCACAGGAGGACAAACATGATTTCTGAAACACAGAACAATATCACAACTCCTTGTGTTTTGCTATTGGAAGATAAAGGGTTCAGATTTCGCATAATTTTTTAGTCTAAAAACAAGTTTCTTCAAGGCTCCTGGGAGTCCATCTAGCATACAGGACAAAGACCTGAGGGTCTCCGGGAAGCCTGCCTGTGGGGCTCACTGCTGCACACCGACTGCTGCTGCCCCCTTGGGATGCCTGGGTGGCTTCCGTGGCTGGATGTAACCCATGGCCCAGTAACTCCCACCATCTAACCAGTAACAGGCAGTGTCTCAGAGGACTGAGACAGGCCTACAGGGACCTTCCCTGGATGCCTTTCATTCCCATTCCCCAGCTTCTTTCAAGTCACTTTTTTTCCCGCAGCTGTTGAGGTTGACTCTACTTCACTGCAAGCCAGAGACTCCTCTGAGCCTGAATCCAGGAGATCCCTGCCACCAAGGTGGTGAACAATGTCACTGTCCAACTGTGGCATGGGTACTGCCCAACAACGGCTGGTGGCGGCCCACATTTCTCACAAGTTTGTCCTGGCATGCCATGCAATGTTATCTTTCCCACATTTCCTCTACTTGACCTGTGCCATAATCCCTGGCAGCCAGAGACAAACCTTTCATGTGGCTCAATAAACAAATGTGTCTATTTTCCCTTCCTAACATGCTAATAGGTGTCAAGGCTGCTAGTTGAATATTACGTTTAGCTGCAAATTCAGCCTATGAATACAGAGTGGATTAAATTAAGACCCTGCAAATAGTGTTGGGAAGAGAGAGAGGAGAACTGCAGGGCAGAAAACAGGGCAGTGAGGGAAGTGGGACTATCTCCTTGACCTGTACCTATGGAATGCATAAAATCTGTTCCCTTACATTAATAAAAGTTTTAGAAATGAAAGAAAGCATTCTCAAACTACTGAAAGTAATCTACTTTTTTGAGATGCTTAGTTATTAACCTATAATCTGAGAAATATGAAGTCCTAATTAACAATTTACTTTGATAATCACTTCACCATTAGACATATCTAAAAGAGGATAATTATTTCCTCTGTTAAATTCAACAAGCAGATGGTTTCCAGCCCCTCTGTCACAAGTCTTTTGCTGCTAAAGTATATGTTTCTTGAGATTACATCACTGTCTAAATGATTTTAATTCAGTAGGGGGCATGACCCCTTGGGAAATAATCTTTTCTGAGACTGCACTTACAGCGAGCATTTTTCCACGTTCAAAATGATGTGAATCGAGGCTGTGTTTCTGCTAACAGCAAATGTGTGCAACACACTGTTTTTCTGGCTTTTATCAAGAGCAAAGACGATGACAATTATGCCACTCCCAGAAGGATGCAGCTGTTTCTAACCCTTTTAAAAACAAGGGGAAAAAAAATACATCTTGTCCAAGCCACTGTGCCTGACAAATAAAACACCAAGCTGGCTGCCTTGGAGACGAGGCTTCCACCAGCCAGCCCAGTCCCAGAGCATCAGAGCACTGCACTCCGCACTGGTGCTGACAAGCTCCTCCCACCTTTCAGGCTCACCCAGCACCGCCCCCCTCAACGTGGTGATCCCCTCAGAATGCCCGTGCACCGGCCAACTCACCTGGCATCTGGAAGGGGCTTCCTGGGTCTGAGCTGGTGGGAGAGTGAGGGTAGGTGCTGCTGCTGCCGCCTGGCGAGTTGGGGTAACTGCTGTTGGGAGAGTGAGGAAACGGGTGGCTGCTGGGCTGCTGGAACGAGTCTGGAAAAGTGGCGTTGTGTGGCATGTGAGGCTCATTCTGTCCCAGGTTGCGGAACTGAGCTAAGAGGCTGTGCTGAGGGTTATATTCGCTGTGTCGTGGAACCAGCACCGGAGGAAGAACTGCAAGTTGGGAAAGAAAACACAAGAAAGACTAACATGAGAATGATAAAAATCTGTAACAACACAGCCAGGAAGTTGGAGCTTCGCTTACTAAGTGACGACAAATTATCTGGAGGCTGCCCTCTGCTCGCTCAAAACCATGACTCCAGTGGAACCGTTCTGTACTGCACAACAGTCCCTTCAGACCCAAGGATGGCTTGCCTGGAGACAGGTGGCAAAATACACCCTCTTGGATGAGAAACCTGAAGGCTCCCCATTCTGAGTTTCTTCTTCATTCATTGAAGAATTAATGCATAATTAATAAATCAACAAAATGTACAATGAAGAATGCACAGTACCACTGAAAATCCACTTCAAGCCCTGTTAATGACATTTTACAGTGAAGAGATAATATTCATTGAAGAGTTTGAGCTATTCACCACTAATGTTGAACTCTAAAGCAAAAAGCAGTTTAGGTAGTGAAATTAGAGCAAGAAAGGTGCTTCAGGAAGCTCGTGGGAAACCAAACTGATTTATTCTGGTACCAAAAAAATTAGAAATCCATGCGTAGAAGTGGCCTTCAAAAAATTCAGAGGAAATGTGTATTTTGAAAACACTACATGTCAGTTTCAAAATGCCTGTGCACCAAAATAAACTTCCTTCTGTTCCTTGTCTCAACAAACGTTCGGAGGTGCCTGTGCTCAGGAGCACTATACCATCCAGATGCTGCAGAAGACCTTCCGGAAGATGTTTTGAGAGAGTCTGTGCTGTGACCTCTCCTAGCAGTCAAGACTTTGCCAACATCTTTTCTCTAAGTCACCAGTCCCTGATTGTTCAGGAAGATGCAAACAAGGCACACTTGGCAAACTGGAAGAGGGCATGAAACCACAGAACTCAACATTCCCAGGAGCTCTTTCCACGAGGGGGCTGAGGGTCTACTCATAGCATGTTCACCAACCTCAGAAACCTCAAGAGGCACAGTCATCACACACTCCTATGACCCAGGAAGGGAAGCATGGGCTCAGTCACGACACAACTCTAGCCTAAGTTAGAGCTCCCACAGCCCCCACCAGTGTCACCAGCCGGCTCCTCCAACCAACCAAGCCCTCTGGAAGCCTTCCTGTTCAGGCGGCCCCAATCCAGGAAAAAAAAACCCACCCATCTTACATGCTTCACAGGACAGAGGAGGTGTAAAGTCGGCTGGCTTTTTGTGCTGTTTTGTAGTCAGGACTCAGAGCACCGGGTTAAATGCAGGCTCCTAGGCCAGTGGTATAGACACGTGAGTTCCTGCATCAGGGTGCCTGGATTCAGGGCCACCCCGGCATTCTGGATCCAGCTTCCTGCTAATGCACACGCTGGGAGGCACTGGTGACAGTTCAAGTAACTGGGTCCTTGCCACACATGTGGCGTCTGGCATCAGCAGCCACTGTGGTCACTGGGAGCATGAATCAGTGGGTAGGAGCCCTATTTGTCTCTCTGCTTCTCAAATATAACGTTTTTTCTTTCTTTCTTCTTCTTCTTCTTTTTTTTTTTTTAAGGAAGCACTGTTGAGCGGCATGAAGAATTTAGACTTTGGAGGCTTCCCAGAAACTCCATTCTTAACTCATGTTATTTCTATGGAAAAAAAAATGTACTTAATGTACTTAACCTGTGGATTATAACTTGCCTATGAGCTGAAAGTGTTTTAAAGTAAAAATAGATTTTGCATAGTATGAACTTTTTTCATGTCATATTTTAAATTGTTAATTAACCTAGTAATAGTAAGGTTTGTTGATTTCCCTACCTTTTGATCTTTGAGAAGTAAATATTTTGAATGAGGCTCATTTTTCAGCAGAATGATGGGAACTGCCCAAGTGATGCCATAAGAAGCATAACTAATTTCCAGTTTTACCTGTCAGCAGTCACTTCAAGCCCAAGCTCCTCTGCTCTGTTGGATTAGGCTCCACAGACACCAAGGGAAACCACCTTCCCAGGCAGGCCGTGATGCAGCCCGATGCCTCTGAGCTACCTGTGCAGCCAGAGTCTCCTTTCCTTAGCTGCTCAGAATGACTCACCACTTCCCACTGGACATCTGACTTCACTCATGGGCAGCGGTTTCTTTTTTTCAGGTAGTCAACTTTATCAGTAGTTTCTTGTATATGGGCCCTGAGTCATAGAATGCCTTCTCTTTCCCCAGACTGACAAGGAGGAATTCATGTGCATTCTTCTAGCGTGTATGAAGTGTCATGGTTCATTTAGATCTCTGCTCCGCTTGTCATTTAGTTTCATTTGTGACATGAAAACTTTTACCTTTCCTCCATGGTTAGCCACTTACCCAGGTGGAATTTAGTAAAAAGTCCATCATGTTCCCAGTGATTGGAAATACCACTTTTCTCAGAATGTTTGAGTCTATTTATAGATATTTCATCCCATTCTATTTCAGTCCATGTCCCTAGTATCACTGTGTTTCAATCAGTCTTTGAAAAAATAGCTAACATAATTAAAAGCTCCCTCCCCCCACCATCTACTTAAAAAGGAAAATCATGAGTGGGTAAGAAAGAGAAAGAGAATCTTCTATCCACCAATTTATCCACCAATGCCTAGAACAGCTGTGGTTGAGCAAGGCTGAAGTGAGGAATCCACAACTCCTCCTGCATCTCCTACCAGTACAGCAGGAACCAGGGCACGTGAGCCATTGTCTCAGGTCTCTCAGAATGCACATTAGCAAAGCACTGGGTCAAAGGCAAAGGAGCTGGGACCTAACCTGGGGATTCTGCTAAGCCAAAACTCATCTCTGTGCTCCACAGGTACTGTCTGTACTAGCTGGCTTTGACCGCCATCATTTTTAGTGAAAAGGATAAAAGACTATATTTTTTTCTAATCACTGATTTAATTATATTCTATAACCTAAATATGTAGAAATTTTAAGAGAAACAATGTAATTTTTCTTTGCAATTGTCACTCATCTATGAGTCACTTAATAAAAATGTATTTAAACTTCCCCGAGTAGAAAAATGTATGTAGTTTAAAGTTCCAGGATTATGGTATTGTGCTAAGAATGTTATAATGTTGGTAGGGGCCAGCGTTGTGCTACAACAGCTTAAGCTGTAATCTAACACTGACATCCCACAGGTTCAAGTCGCTGATAATCCAACTCCAATTCAGCTATCTGCCACAAGTGCCTGGGAAAGCAGCAGAGGACAGCTGAAGTACTTAAGTCCGTGGCACCCACGTGGGAGATGAGCATGGAGTTCCAGGCTAGCCTTGCCCCTTGCAGTCATGTGGGTGGTGAAGCACATGGAAGCTCCCACTCTCCTCCTTTCTGTCTCCTGTCAAAGGCAAGGACGGACGGACGGACGGACGGACGGAAGGAAGGAAGGAAAGGAGGAGAGAAGGAAGGAGGGAGGGAAGAAAGGATCCCTTTAGGGGAGAGACATATCTTTTCAATACAGCATTGAGTGGACTTAGGATTTATGAGGCAATAGGAAGTTAACAGGTGAGTTGAAGTCCATTTTCACTTACTTATGTGAGTGACATGTTGTTATAGCACTGTATTACATTTATCATTTGTTTAGGTAGTGGAACTCTGGTTTTTATATTTTTAAATGAAGTTCCAAAGTTGGTTTTCTGTTGTGATTATATGGCTATTTTTATATTTATATCCTTTAGTGTCATGAAATATTTTTTTTTACTTTATATTTTGTAGTTCCTCAGTTTTAAATGTCTCCTTCAGCATTCGCCTATGATCTTGATAGTAAAGGATTTTATGCTACTTGCGCCTATTTCTGTCTTTACCTTGCTGAAGGTGCACACTTTTACTTCATCAGACCATCTGAACCGCACACGGCTTGTTCACCTATGTCATCACTTTTATCTCTATATGTATATGCTCATCAACAGCTCTTGTGCCAAAGTTTTCCTACATGCCTTCTTTTCTTTCCAAAATATTTATTTTCATCTACTTAATATGTGGAAAGAGAGGGAGCCAGGGAGGGAGGGAGAGAGAAAATCTACCTGTTAGTCTTCTCCTTCAAATGTTAACTGCCTGGGCATGACCAGGCCATAAAGCAACAATCAGGCATCTGGATCCACCCAGATCCACCCCCTGCTGCCACCCAGGGAGTATTACCAAGCTGGGCTGGAAGCAGAGTAACTGACTGTGACATTGGAACACAGTGTGATACCTACTGTGAGAAGGAATGCAGACATCCCAAGCGGCAGCCTACCACAAATTTTATTTTAATAGAGAGGTCCTCCAGCAGACTTCTCCGGGGCAGAGCTCACTGTAACAATGTTCCCCCTTGAGTCTTTGCACATTAAACATGTTCTACGGAGGTCTGGGCTGGTACCACAGTGTACTGTGCTGGTCTTCCACCTGTGGAGTTGGTACCCCATATGGGTGCCCTTTCTAGACATACTCGCTTTACTTCCAATCCAGGTTCCTGGGATGGTCTGACAGGGCAGCAAGGGATAGGCCAAGGCCCTAGGTGCCTGCACTTATGTGGGAGATTCGGAAGAAGCTGTTGGCTCTCAGCTTTGGACCAGCACAGCTAAGAGCCAATGCGGTTGTCTGGAGAGTGAACCAGCAGATGAAGGATCTCTTTCTGTCTCTCCCCCTCTCTCTCTGTAACTCTTTCAAGTAAAATAAATAACTCTTTAAAAAAATATTTTCTACAGCCTACACTTCAATGCAGCTTGATTTCCAATGTCTTTTAAAAATTTATTGAAAATGTTGTTTTTACTGTTGCCCGCATCTATCTGCACGATGCCTGATTTCTAGCTAATTTTTTAGCATCATAAACAACATGTACATTTTACTAGGAATCGCTTAGGTCTTTGTCTTTAAAATCTAACAGTTTTGTTGGTAATGCATCCAAACTGATTATTCTTGGTGAATTTTCCAAAGTACATATAAGTGTTTTTAATATTTAACTTTAGTTTTTCTCTTATTTCTGCAAAGTTTCCGTGGGTTATAGTTTTCAATTACTAGCCATGCCCTCTAGCTCCAGAAATGTGGGAACTCCAATTCTACACAAATTGGA